CTGGCAGGAGAGGTGCGGGTGGTCGGAGTGACCAGGCGGCAGTGACTCAGGGTCTCCAGTGTGATCAGTTATATTCACACACACATCTGAGCAGGACAAGCAGTATCCGCCGTTTCATACAACGTTCACGGTGTGCGCCCCACTGCGTACGCTTTCATAGTGTATGTGCTAACACACACACAACACAAGCACACACAATACATGCACATTCAATGCACATGCACATACACACACAGTCTTGTTCATCGGGGACGTGTAAGGTTTTAGCTAAACTCCAGAAAGACTTTCTTTGCAGCACCTGGGAGATACTGAAAACTGAAACCCCGATGCATCGGTTTCTCTATTCACAAAATGGGGGTTAAAATAAGTCACAAGAAACGGGTCATTTGGAAAGCACCTGAAATCCTGGGGTTTGGCCAGTGCCTCTGGTATTGTCTAAACACAGAGAGCCCCCCACAGCCCGTGTGCCCGGGGCCACTATTGGAGGTGTTCACTGAGGAAGACGTGGATGCGAACCCACCGCTGCCAGACCCCTCTCTCCCTTGATGCCCAGAACTAGGCACCTGATGGAATTCCCATCCGTGCACAACACTGCCGTTCTCGGGCTTTGCCAAGCAAACCTCTGGAGTTGGCATTTCACATTTAGTGGGGCCTGTCCACACACACGCACAGGCCCAAACCTCAGACCTTCTCCTTCTCTTTGCAAGGCTGGTCTGATTTTGTTCCAGCCTATTCCTGGCTTATACCCCCAGGGCTGATGGGTACAGACCTCCAGGAATGAAGAGCAGAGTGAGGCTCTGATGGAGCACAGAGCCCATAGGCCTGGAGCCCCCTTTCAGCTGTAGTGACTTGTCAATGCAGGGGCCCGGCCTCTGGGAGCCCAGCTAGCCGGCACGGCCAGGTGGGTGAACTTTCTAGATGAGGGCGCTGGGCACTGACTCGGGGGGAAATCAGATCCACAGCTGGTGCCCGCTGCTCACGCACCTACACTGCTTCTCTTTGCAATCAGACAGAGCCAACATCACTTCTGGTGAATCTTGCAACTTAGAAGCAAAAGAGAACTAGAAAGAGATGAGATGACAGAGGCCCGGCCAAAAATAGGAAGACGCGTGGCGAGAAAGCCTGCCTGTTGGGAGAAGACTCATTCCCACTCTGTCCACCCACCCATCCCTGAGTCTCCCCCCAAAACCAAGCGAGCCCACCCAACTCGAGCCCGTCTGGCCGCACAACTCCTGTGCCGACGTTGGCCTGCCTCTCGGAACAGGCAGCCGGACAGGACCCTGCAGGGTCCTGCAGGCAGGCGCCACTGCCTACACCATGGCAACCAAGAAAAAATGCAAATCGGAAATCAAACATCTGTCAAAGTTGAAGGGACCACAAAGTCAGATTGCGGTGACGAACAACAGCTCCCTCAGCCAGGCGGCGAGCGCCTCACTCACCTGATCGGGCCTGAGGACTGACCAGGGAGGTCGCGTCACAATCCAAAATCCGAGTGCACAAGTCCTGGGGTCTCTCTCTCCCCTGCCACCTCTGCCTCGGTCCCCGGGCCATCGGGTGTGGGACAGCTGACCAAGGACGTGGCCCTGATACACGCCGAGAGGCTGCCAAAAGGGACAGAGGGGTCTAGCCCGATCCCGCCGCTACTCCTGGTCTGGAACCAGCCTCGGAAGCTGGAGGCACGGGCGGCCGTGTGCAGAATGCTTGCTTCCGACATTGAATGAGCCCACAGAAGCCCTCGATCTGATCTTTTATAGTGCTTTGTTTATTACCTGTGTGCCCTTATTTCATAAGGGAGCTGAGAAAGAGAGAGAGAGAGAGAGCAGGAGAGAGAGAGAGAGAGAGAGAGAGAGGGAGACCAAAAGGGCGGTGACACTGCCCTGAGAAGCCAGCGTTTCTTTAGCTTCATTCATAGCAGCGAACATGGCCAAACAACCCAGCCATTGTTCTCTCAAATGTCACCTTTCTGTATGGGCCACTGTGCCCATCAAACTCGGCTCTCGCGTTCTTGCTCCCCCTTCCCACCACCACCCCTCACTAAAAAAAAAAAAAAAAAAAAATGGCTGTGTTATCCTCCAAATATCTCCGGAGAAATCGAACCTACAAGGAAAGCTTTTCTTCTTCCCCATGCCCCCCCCTCCCGTTTTTTCTTTCTTCTTCACGCAGCTTGAACAATTTGGCTCTGTTCTGGGTGCATTCCTGTGGCCCATTCTCTCTCAGTCCCCCGTGCAGGGCTGAGGCCGGTGGGCCAGGAGAACACAGGCCCACATTCAGGCCCAGGACGGCGCTGCGGGCGGGGAGGCGGGTGGAGAGAAAAGTGAACCAAATGTACCTATGATTGTTGCGCCACCAACTTAATACCTGGCCGGGGAGACAAAGGCCCTTTAGAAAGAGTCCAGGCTGCCCATTCTCCCCATCCCCCCACCCCCCGGGAGTTCAAAAGATAACAGGAGCTGAAAATGAGGCTCAAACGTAATTAAACTTTCCCAAGTCATTTCGGGAGCTATTACCAATGATGACAGAGAACTCATGCTAGCGCTTTCTGATGAACAAGATCTGCTCATGCGTGAAGAGTCTTTCTCTCTTGGCGTGCCTGTGTGTGCATGTGCACACGCATGTGCATGCATACACACATCCCCCCCATTCCTGGACAAATGACCCATACATTTGGAGCCCTACACCTTTTCACACAGAGGGGTGGCCATTCCTCTCAAAGTCCCTGCTTTAAAGGGAACCTGCATAACGAAGCCATCCCACCATGAACCCTACCTTCTTCTTAGCAGAGGGTAGGTAGGGATTTAACATTTGTTCACTCGTGCGTTTATTTCCACTTGGGATCCAGGAACTTGCCCATGGAAGTGGGTGGAGACCTGAAAGTTAAGTCCTGACGATAAAGGAAGGGGCAAGCCTGCGGCCTAAGTACAGCACAAGGAGCATTTCTCCTCTCCACGGGACGGGCGCCGCGGGCGCCGCTGTCAGAGTACAAAGGCCAACGTGGACACAACACGCCCTGGTCCTTAGGTCCACGTTCCTTAGCCAAAGTCTTCATTAAGAGAAAGACCAATTCACCAGGAAACTGGGGAGCAGAGACAGAAAGAGCCAGGCCTAGAAGGTCCCTGAGAAATAAAGAATGAAACAAATGTGCACTTGAATACCAAATAGGATTGTTTTGCCTTGTAATTAAAAAAAAAAAAATGCACTAGAAAACTGCTCTAAGTCACTGCTTTTTTTGTGTGTGTGTGTTTTTCCCCCAAAAGACAGTAAGAAAAGATTGGTGTTTTCTTCATCACTTGATCCTAAGTCTAGAAAACTACAGAACCACACATCAAACCCTGATTTGTAGCATGTTTAGATTTCCGTGATGTTAATGTTCCCTTCAAACCAGGTATCTGGCATAGAAGTGCTAAATCATTCTTTTCTGGGTGCAGAAAATCACCTGATTCCCCTGGAGGAGAAAAGCCAGCCGCAGGGGTAGGCCGGGCCCAGCCCCACTCCCTCACAGGGGCTGATTGTTACATTTACAAGAGTCTTGCGAGCCCGTTGTTCAACACAGCCACTATTAAATGTTTCATTCTATAAACTTACAATGAAATAAGTTCTATGAAAAACAAAGGCAAATGAGCTGATCACTTCCTGGCCATTTCACAGTGTTTTCACTATCATCTATGCTCTTGTTTGCACCTGCCGTGTCCATATAATGGGACTACTATGCGATGGTGATCGCTGCCCATCTCTCCCCACTCTGTGTCCCAGGAGGTCACAGTTTTAGTTTCCCATTGGCCGTGGCGGGAACATTAACATCACGGAAATCTAAAAATGCTACAAATCAGGGTTTGATGTGTGGCTCTGTAGTCGTCTAGGCTTAAGATCAAGTGATGAAGAAAACACCAATGATGCAGATTACGTATATCTATAGTTGATACCTTGTGAATAGCCTATATATATACCAAACATTCTTCCAGCATTAAAAATCTTTTCTTCATCAGTGAAGAAACGACTTTACATCATTGACTAAGAAGTGAGGTTCCAACGTATGTCTTCATTGTTTCATCGTCTTCCTTAGCTGAAATGAAATTACCAACCAGCGTTCGTGCTAGAACCGCCCTCTTTCATCCACTGCAAAACAGAAGTCAGGGAATTGTTTTTCCGGAAACAATTAGCTGTTTGGAATGGACAGTGAAGGGCACTGCCTATTTTATAACGGTCTGCAAATGATATGCTCCACATCTTTTATATCAGGGTTTATCACCATGTAAGCATGGACCTAGTATAAGCATGAACATGTTTCTCAGAGGGCTGGATGCTGAACATTGGTCAGCATGCCACTGTCCAATGGCACAACTTCCTGTAGAGAAAGGGGGTCATTGGGATGATTTCTAGAATGATAAGCAGAAGTGTGTGCATATGAGTGCGTGTGTGTGTGTGTGTGTGTGTGTGTGTGGTCCATCACTCAGCTCTGGGTTAACAGAGGCAGGTCACAGAGCACTGAGGGAGGCTCTGGCTAGAACGACACTGTGCGCTATGCCCACCTCCCCTACTTTTGCTCAGATCCACCAAGCACACGGCTCATCCAAGGGGAGGCAGAGGAGACAGGAGCCTGCCTTCCATTGTTTCTGTGTCTGGATAGTGTTTTCATTTCCAAAAGATTTGTGCACAAACCGTGTCCTGGGAGCCTCAGAAGGACCCTGTGATAAAGGCAAGACAGAGAGCATCTTGGATGAGCATATCAAGGCTCAAAAGGCTTACACTGCATGCCCGAAGTCACCCGATCAAGGTAACTGAGCTACTTTGTGGGATGAGTTTCTCTTTCACCCTCCAGGGTCCTTCTGCTCTCCCCAGCATGGATGGACCCCTCCTCTGCCAGCCACCATGTCACAAGAAGAGGGAACACATGTGACCAACAACCAGCAGGCCCTGGGTGTCCCACAGGATGAGGGACTCACCTTCCCCATTGGTTACCTGCCCACCTGTACTCTCTTCAGGTTCCACTGACCATTGCTCGAGATATACTCATGAGGGTCAAGTTCCCACAAAGGACCAAGGGCAAGATTCCCGGGCATGTGGAGTGGACCATAACATTGGAAGTCACTCCAGTGACACACACACACACACACGCAAGCCTAGGCAAAGAGCCAGCAACAGTTCCTAGAGACAGCCTTCCCGTAGTGACCGGCTTCCCAGAACCGAGAGAGATGCTATTGGTTTTTTTTTTTTCTGGGGATGACCAACATCTAAATCCCTCAAGGTCAGGAGCTCTGTTTGTCTTGCTTGCTCCCAGCCTAGGACATGCTTGGCAGACAGTAGATGCTTAATAAACACCTAGGGACTGGATGCCGTCCAATGAATCGTCCTATCTGTTCACCCTGTGGCTGGCATGTATAGCATCTGTAGGTTCTGGACTTAGGTGTGAGGAGAGCCATCCCCCTCCTCCCTCTCATCCCTTCCTTCCCCCTTGTATCGCTCTGTGCAGAAATCCATAGCAAACCTGCCGGGGCCCCCTGGCTTCTTAACAAAGCCAAACAGGTGTGAGAGATTAGCTCCCTGGACGGAGTCTCTGTCCAAGGAAACAATGTCAAATTCCCCCTAATACAGTCCAGAGCTGTGAGCAGCCCCCCCCTTGTTATTAAGCAGGAAAGAAAACACAGCCCGGCTCCTTCCCAATTAGCTCCGAGGACCCTCTGATGAGCCGAATTTAAGCCAGAGACCTACCATGGTCTGGCTTCCAAGGCAGACGGGCCCTGCCTTCCCCAGGCGAGTGGAAACTGGCTGGCCCGGCTTCCCGGCCTTCTTGGCACGAGGGTGCAGACAGCCCCCCGAGCCCCCACCCCCATATCCACGAGCTGTCTCTGCCTCTGATTCAAACCATCTTTGCACCGCGTTGCCAGATCGCTTACTTTGATTTTCCATATGGAGGCCCGGTCTCCTCTGCCAGGTCAGTGTTTACAGGGATGGGCTCCTTGACAGTCGCGCTGTCAGTGAGAGAGGGGATGGGATCCCTCCCTGCGCGTGAATCACCTTCTTGTCATCCAAAAAGGGGGAAAGAGCAACATCCTGAAGCAATAGCAACAACAAAATGGACATCCCAAGGGGATCTGCAGTGGGGGTGTCTCGTCTAGCCTTTCCTGCCCGCCCTCCATCCCCTCCTCCCCCCCGAACTAACAGGACGTGGAGTGGAAAACAGAGACTGCAGGGAGCTTCCAAAGGGGGCCCAGAGCCGTGTGACCTCGTGTTCACACGTGGGCTGGACACGCCGACCACCAAGGCCATCCGCTCCCCGCCCCACCCGCCTTCCACCGTGTTTGCAGGAAGCTGCTTGCATCCTGAGCACCCTCTCTGAACTGGGGGTGCGAAAGCAGTGTTCATAATAAGCTCTGAGTAAGGATTGGCAGGCACTGTCCCTGGGCACTAAAGCACGACTCGAATTCTCAGAAGAACTTGAAGAATTTTATCAAGGAGGCAGCTAAGCATTTAAAAAGTTACTTGTCCAAAGCACGCGGCTACCCACTGGTAGAAGTGACACTTGGACCTAGAATCCACATATGGAACCGGGGTAGACAGTTGTGCTTGTTGGCCAAAGATGCCCTCTCCCTTCTCGGCTCTCCCTTCTGGGCACAGAGTGGAATTTTGTTTCCTGGGCTCTGATGTTGGGTGGGGCCAGCATGGCCAATGGGTTGTGAGCAAAAGTACTGTGTATAGCGTCCAAACGGAGCCAGTGTGCATCTTTCCAGAATGCAGGTTCCCTGTGCCACCCTCAC